TTGTCAAGGCAAGCCCCTGTAGAGATGTCATCCAATTACTCTCTTGGAATCATGCACAGAGCAGCCAGAAACGGAATCTCCTCTACTCAGCCATCTTGGATCTGTCCTCCTGATTATTGATTTTAATTCTTGTGCTATAAGAATCTTATTAAGGAAGTTGGATCATAATCCCACATGATAGAGATTAGAGCCTACTTTTTCTTCTATTAGACACAGGGTTTTTGGTTTAATTGTAGGTCATTGATCCACTTTGAGTTGAGTTTTGTGCATGGTGAGAGGTAGGGGTTTAATTTCATTTTGTTGTAAAGGGATTTCCAGTTTTCCCGGCACCATTTGTTGAAAAGGCTATGTTTTTTTTCCAATGCATGTTTTTGGTCCCTTTGTCTAATATAAGATTATCATATTTTTATGGGGTAGTCTATGTGTCCTCTATTCTGTACCATTGATCTACAATTTTGGTGCCAATAACATGCTATTTTTGTTACTATCACTTTGCAGTATAGTTTAAGGTCTGATAAAAGATGGAAAGATCTACCTTGCTCTTGGACAGGCAGAATTAATATTATCAAAATGACCATACTACCAAAAGCACTATACAGACTCAATGCAATTCCAATCAAAATCCCAAAGGCATTCTTTATAGAAATAGAAAAAACAGTATGGAATTCATCTGGAAAAATAAGAAACACAGAATAGCTAAAGCAATCCTTGACATCTGATATTAAAGAGGATTTTGCAATTTATAAATGGATACATCCATAAGGTAATTGGTTATAAGCTGTGGGGCTCAACAGAAATGCCTTTGAAATAGACATTATCAGTCATTGATAAATAGATTATAGTACAAGTTATGAGCATAAATAAGATTGCTGGTGAGAGAGAATTACATGGTTATGTAGAAGATGATTGTTAATGTACTAGGTCTTGAACTCCACTACATTCTAACACGATGGAGGAGGATCAGCAGCAAAGAAAAAATAATAATCATCGATTATAGAAATAGAAGGCAAATTAGATTAGAGGGGTATCATGGAGGCAAATGAAGGAGAATTTCTAAAAGCAGTATTGTCAATAGTGTTAAATGTTATTAGGCAGCAAGAAAGTAAAACTCTGCATTGGCTTTAGTGACATGATCACTTTATCAAACAGTATTTTTGTTGAGACACATTAGTGACTGGGTTAAAGAGTGACTAGGAAGTAGGAAACCTATTCAGTAAACTATATAACTGTTGTAAAATATTTACCTTTATAAAACACAAGCAAAGAGAAACAGGAAATGTGAAGGTCAAGAGAAGCTTGATAAAAATAGAAGTCAATAAACTATGTTGAATTCCCATGTAACAATGCATTTGTGATATGGATGGGATTGAATTTATAGTAGATAATAGAAAATTGATGGTCTTTGATGCTTGAGAAATAATAGGACAACATTCAAAATGCAAAGTAGTGGGATTTATTTATGGTAAAAGAAGGGAAATTCACTCAAATGTAAGAGAAGGAAATGAAAAGAATTGCTTCACATGCAGGTAAGATGGAATTTTTAGATATAGCAAGTAGAAGAAATTCTTATTTGTATTTTTCTCTGTAAGAGGGAAAACAAGGTCATTTACTTGGACACCTGAAGGAACAGGGTGGGTCAGAGACTTGAGAGCTCTGGGAGAAAGTTTTAAATAGTTCTTGTGGTGAGTCCGAGTTCAAATAAAAAAATGTATGGTAGAATGCTGGATTCTTTTAAGGCTGTTGATCATTCCCTTAGTTTGAGGTTCCCTAAGAGTAGATCTGGAGACAAATAAATAAGTGCAAGTAGTTTATTTGGACAGTGATCCCAGGAAGCAAATGAGGGAAGTGAGATAAAGAAAAGAATATAGACAATAAAATATGATACCTGAGTAGGAATCAGAGAATTGCAGGTGGTAAATGGGGCTCATTCTTGCCAGGAACCTCTGAGAGACAGAATACAGTATACTTCAAGATGGTCCAATTGAGTAATAAGGGGTTTGGGATACGTAAACATCAACTCAAAGCTCTCACTGGTTAATACTTTTCAAGTATTCTTGGTCTGTCCCATGAACTGTTCAGTAAAATCTACAGGCAAAGAGACACAAGGATTTTTATGTTGGGCCAAAGAAAAATAACAACAAAATCTAAAGTCAATAAATATTAACAATTCATGCACAAATGAAAAAGTGTTGACATTCAATTACATGAGGTTTAGAGGAATTCAGATCCCTATTCTCTCAATATCTAGTTGGGACTCTTTGGTAAATAACAAATCAGTAAATATTTATTACTAGGAAGTAGGCTCTCTTTTTGTTGGAGGACATAGAGGTGAGCTAGATGATCTAAGTTCCTATCCCATGATGCCAAAAGTCCAAGGTCAATTAACTTAAATTCTCCTGAGTCTACCTTTCCTTATATAAGGAAGGGTAATTGGGCAGGGTAATAGGTAATGTATAACTATAGCTTTTTGTAAGAATATAAGATGTGTATATTTGTAAGGGTTTCTGTTTTATAAAGTTCCATATGAGTTTAATTTTAAAACAATAGCCTGAAAGTAAGTAAAACATTCTAAAAGATTCATACTAGTTAAAACCTTGAAATACTGGTTTAAAAAATCAGTTCATGGGCCTGAGGCTATAGCTCTGTGGCAAAGCACTTGCTCAGCATGTGAGAAACACTGGGTTCTATCCTTAGCACCACATAAAAATAAATAAAGGCATGCTGTCCATCTACAACTACAATAAAAAAAGAAATATAACTCTCAAATATAAAAATATCAGTCCATATGTTTGTGATAGCTAATATAATTGCGTGTGATGCAACTAGCTTAATAATGTTTTATGAAAAATTCCAAAAAGTGTTAGCTCAAATTCACCTCAAGGTGTGTTGAAAATCTAATATTGACATGAAAACATTAAAATAATAGACTATCATAAAAGTATTGTAAGAAGATAGTTGTCTCTCTCTTCCTTGATTATACTGTACACTGCTCATGTGTTTTCTTTAGGTGCCAAATTGTAGGGAACCTAAGATATGGACAAACCATGGAAAATACACTGAAATAATTAGGAATAGGCAGGATAACCTTCAGATGTCTTTTGGTGCATTTAAATCATTTATTTCAAATATTCGAAGACAGGAATAAAGAAGTAATAGCATGGTGATTAAAATGCCTTACTTTGTATCTTAAATTTTATATTTTCCTTGTGCTCTAAAAAGGTCCTCTAAAAATTGTTCTTTTTTTCCCTAAGAATGTCTATTTGGTTTGTTTGGTTTGCTGTGCTCAATAAGTTGTTGGATTAGATGATCTCTAAATTCCCTTGTCATGGATCTTTGATTGATTTTGATAAAATCTAGGAGCTCTTTCTGAAGAAAAACACATATACCTTCAGAATTTCCAGTGATTCATTCATTCATTAATTCATTCATTACCCTTGCAACTCATCTATGACTACCCTAAAATCTATGCTTTTTTGAAGTTTTAAATTTTCTTTTGTTAAACCTACTTTCAATTTTTAGATTAAAATAATATATATTAATGATATAAAACATGTTTTAATATATGTATGTGTTATGGATGGCTAAACCATGCTAATGTAACCACTATATCATATTTTATCATTTTTTTCTAGTTAGCATGTTTCAAATCTATTAACTTAATGATTTTCAGATGGAGAATATTGTTAAAAACTATAGTTGCCATTTTGTGCAATAGATCTCCTGGACTTATTCCTTCTAATTGTATATTTTCATACTTTGATTAACATCTTCCTTACCATGCCCTCCTTCTTCCAACCTCTGGTAACCAGCATTGTACTCTCTGCTTCTATGAGTTTGAGTATTTTAGAGATCTCATAATTAGTGAGATCATATATTATTAATCTTTTTGGATCTGGCTTATTTCACTTAGTATAATGCCATCCAGTTTCATCCATATTGTCACAGATGATAGAAACTCCTTTTATAAAGCTGAATAGTATTTCATTTTGTGCATGTGTGTGTGTGTGTGTGTGTGTGTGTGTGTGTGTGTGTTTATTACATTTTCTTTATCCTTTGATCCATTAATGGACACTTGAGATTCTTCCATACCTTATCTAATCTAGATCTGAATTTAAAAAAAAGTTCCAAATAACATGGTAATTGATCAGATATTTCTTGCAGCAAAATACCCTACACCAAAACTTAGTAGCCTAACACAGTAGTTGTTTATCATTTCTCATATCTCTACAATGTGGGAAGTGTCCTTTGGGCACTGATTTAGCTGTAATGTAGTGTCTGCTAGAGCATCCATTATGCAATATTCAGCTATTATTCAAAGGTTCAGAAGGTCAGAGAAGGCCTTATTCATACGATTGTTTCTTTATGTTCTTCCATGTATCCTGTCCACATGAATACATTAAACTTCCTTAAAGCATGGTCACCTCAGAATCATTGGACTTCTTATATTAATTACATTTGCGTTCAACAAGTGTGTATTTTAAGAGAATAAATTACAATATGCAAATGTTTATCAAGCCCTTACTGGGATTATCTTACTAATATCCTATTTTCCATAACAAGTCACATGATCAAACCCAGAGACAATATGTTTAGAGAGTATCAGGACAAGGATATCAAAAGTATAGTTCAATGGCTACCACCAACCAGAATTTCAATTTCTTATAAATACTTCTCAAAAAGTAAGAAACTCATCTTGGGAAGTAGTAATTTTGCAAATAGTACAAACATTCAAGCAGAGCCTGGGTAATAGCTTATAGGAGATACTGTAGAGGTGATTGCTGCATTGAGGGGAATAAAATGACCTCCATGATCATAAGACTGTACATCAAAGCCGACTTCAAATTTGAGCCTGCCTAACTAGGGAAAGAGTGGGGCTATTAACAGTAATAAAGACATCAGGAGGGAGTCTCAGATTGGGAGGAAAATGATAAATGTGAATAAATTGCTTTTCTTTCCATATAGAAGAAAGAGATAATGACCTTTATTCTTTGCTGTCTTAGGTTGGATGTCGATATTACTGAACTTCACAGTTGGATTACTCGCTCAGAAGCTGTATTGCAGAGTCCTGAATTTGCAATCTATCGGAAGGAAGGCAACTTCTCAGACCTTAAAGAAAAAGTTAATGTAGGTTCTGCATTAAGTTTTAACATTTTTTTCTATTTTGTGCTACTTGTAAACTCTCTGCCTTTTTAATTCTCTGATTTTTATTAGAGGTGGTGCGATTAAAAAAATCTGATACCATGTTATTTAATATATGTTTAAAATTTATTTTAGATGTCAAGCAAAATCAAATTTTAGCCTAGGATAATCTTTTCCAGATTCTGCTGTGACAAGAAGTGTTTTTCATATATTAGAAGATGAACTTCTGTTGATTTCCCATCATGTATTTTTATGTTAGCTCAAGTCTAGGCTTTAGGAACTTTGCAGAACAGAACAGAATAGAATGAAATAGAGTCAAACACAATACACTCTTAGAAATTGTATGGCTGAGGCAGGAGCATCGCAAGTTTCGCAGGAGCATCGAGAGTTAAAAGCCAGCCTCAGCAATTTAGCGATGCCCTAAACAACACAATGATACCTTGTCTCTAAATAAAAATATAAAAAAAGGAATGGGGATATGGCTCAGTGGTTTAGTGCCCCTGGGCTCAATCCCCTGGAACCCCCCCCTCCAAAATAGTTATTCTTTATAGTCAATAATATATGTCATAAATTATAACAGGTTTATAGTTCATATATATATTTACCTTAATTAAAATATGTTTATCTTCCTTCAGTATTTACTTATGATGAAAGATGGCTTGCTTGTTTTTAATTCCTTTCCAAGACATTATAATTTTAACCTTCACAATAGGAAATTTTATTAACTTAATAATAGCTGTTTCATCTTCAGGGAAGTTATCAGGCTTTTATTTTTCAACTTCAACAATTATAAAACATTCATTTAAATTTACAATTGATAGCAGTTTTGAAAGAATTTCTACAAGGCTGAGTAAATAAAGGGGATAGGGCAAAAAATCTGAATGTTAAATAATTTTAGTTATATAAATGTCACATGTAAGTGTATACATTAGTTCTGCTTTAGTTTTCTAGCATTTAATTCATGAACTACAATAGCTATTATATTATCAAATACAATACTACCTCAGATATAAGCTCATGTTTGTTGTAGGATTGGAAATTTTGAAGAAAAACAACTGCAAAGAGCTTCTGGAAGAAAACAATAAATTTTTAGACTGCTTGAGGAAAGACAATAATTTGTCAAATATTCTTAGAATTGACTCTTTATATTTACAAATTGGAAAGTTATGTTAAATTTCTTATTGGCTTTATAAAATATGCTGCTATTAGCATTTTAATAAACTGGTATAAATTGTTTCAAGAAACGGGAAATATAATTACATTAGTTTCAAAATTAAACTGAATAGACAGATAATAGTATAATTATTTATTATAGAATTATAGTAGTATTTGCCTTAATGTGAAATTAGCAGAATGTCTTTTTGTAATGTGTAATTTTTTAAAAGTATATTCTTTGTTATGATATTTGAAAGAAAGTCCAAGTAGAAAAAATACCTAGAAAAGATACACTCTTTCAAAGCTCATGTGATATATTTAATTACTAAAAGTATGAATCACATTGGGTATTTCATTAGCTAATTAAAATACTTTATCTGATTTATATAGTTTTCTGTTTGTCATCCTATTTCTGTATCTTAAAGCAACTTTGATCAAGCAAGAAAATTGAGTTCCTGCATTTCAGGAATATAAATTCAAAAATTTTCTGTTATCATATGGTTACCTAGAAGCAATTTACATTTAATAGATTGTGTCAACATGACAAACTAAAAGTGCTAAAAAATGTACAATATTGTATAAGTGGTTTTCTGATGCCTAGCAAGTCACCTTTATCAACTTGAACTCTCATTTTTTGAAATAACAACATCATTCTTAATTGTCTACTAAAATAGGATGTGAAATGATTTACCTAGACATTTCCTTCAGGCTAAGTATAATGTATATGTATTAAAAGTCCTTGAGAGAAACACATAGTAATGATGATGGATATGCAGTTAAGGTGTACATTAATTTTATTAACTTCTTCACCTGTCAGTTTATGTAAGTTATTTTGAACTCATGGGAGGCCCATCTCATGAACTTGAATGATATTAATTTATTTTTAGGCATCCATTAACAATGGCTAAACATTATTAACTCTTTTATCTTTTACTTGATTGCTTCATTCATTTATACCTTTCTAGTGTTTTCCGTGAACAATAATATTCAAGGCCATTGCCAATACAATTTTGAGTATTTTCAGATATGAACCCTTTAAAATAGAGCATAATTTCTCATCTCTGTTGACTGTGTTTTATTAATATAAGTCAAAAAATGCACTTACTTAAAAGTGGAGTCTTATGGGATCTTACTAATCAAAGTGTGTCCCCTGGATAATAAATATTAGCATTATCTGGTAGCTTGTGAGAAATATGGAATCACAGACCTAGTGAATCATAATCTGCTGTTGGACAAGTTTCATACATGATTTTTATGGCCAGAAATATTTAAAAATCAATATTCTAGGACACAGTCTGAAGTATTACCAGAATTCTAGATGTTCTTTCATTCTGTGGATGTCAACATGATTCAGAATTTTTAATTGGACTAATTCTAGCTACTCATATTTTTTTAAAAAAACATTTTATTAGTTATTGATAGACCTTTATCTATTTATTTGTTTATACATAGTGCTGAGAATAGAACCCAATGCCTCACCCATGCTAGGCAAGCACTCTACTACTGAGCCACAACCCTAGCCCCATAGCTACTCATACACTTGATGCGGGTACTTGATAATATAAATTAGTAATAAAATAACAAAATAGCCTCTTCTGACCACAAGTCAATGTAGTAGATGTCTGAGAATCAGGAACTTATACAAGGTTCTCTTGAAAGTTTTCTAACCAAGCTATTATGGTCAAAAGGTCTTGGGCTCTTTCTAGGATCTGTGCTTTCTTATACTAATCCTAAATAAAAGTTTTCACCAGGTTGCAATTGGAATCTTCAGGTCAGTTAAATCTACTTTGTCTCCTATGTCTATTATCTGTGTTTACCTCTCAGAATAGGTACCTCTGTTTATCTGTCCTCCCTTTGTCTTTATGTTCTTCCCCACTCCATTTCCTCTGCCTCATTTCCTGTGCTTTGTGCCTTCCAATAGTCTCATTGTGAACTCTTAAATCTGTTTTTCGAGACTCGTCTTTCTGTTCTATAATAAGTTCATTCTGTTTATACATGGAGACTACTTTGACTCTGAAGAACAACACTGTACCCATCTCTCTCTCATATCCCTACTCCTTTTGAATTGTTTTCCTAACTTCACAGAGCCAATTCCAAAGATACTCTTGTCTATACATGTGTTTTTCCTTGCAATTTGTGTCTAGTAGCCATCCAGAGGCCCTATTAGCCACTTTAGCTTTAGTGAAATTCTTTCCTCCTCCAGTTTATGGCATACCATATACTTACCACTGTATTCTGTTATTTTCTCATTGAAGACTTTGGTACTAAGATCAGAGTCCTTTCTGACCAAGTTGTATATGTATTCTTAGTAATCTTAGTACCTCTCTGAGATGTCTGCTCTTTGTAAAACCTTCCATTTCCCTATGTTCTTAAATTACTCATGCAGTTGCATAGTCCTACTATAGATGTTATCATTACCCAGAATTTCTCCTTTTCTTAAATACACACTTTAACAGAATTATTGATAGCTTTGTACAAACTTTCCATGCATTCCTACTAATACTTCTCCTTATTTTTTCTCAATTATTTCAAATATTAAGTATCTTCTATGCCTTTATTACCATTTGTAGTAGATGACTTTTCCTAATATTTTAGTCAAAATAATGTTTCTCAAATTATGTGTATTCATTTTATGCTCATTGTATCTTTCCATCTGCTTTAACTCAGCTAGTTAAGCTAATTCAGCTAGCTAATCTCTCTTTCTCTCTTTCTAATGTCATCACTGTCATGTATTAAGCACCCCTCCTCTGTTAATCCGGATATCCATATATTCAGTCCCATTCTATTCTCTGAGACTTAATCATCAATCTTTAAATAGTTTTTTTTAATATTTGAGGAAAAATTTTCTCTCCTAGAAACATAAACTTTTATATGTTATTCAACTTCTCTATAGAAATAGACCGTATTAACTACTTTATTCTTCATGAAATTCTTTCCTTTCTTAGCTTATAGCATAGCACTAGGTACTTATTACCTTTTTTATATTTTGGTCATTTGTTCCAGTTCATTTTTCTTTTAATAATATTATTCTCCACAAAACTTCTCCTATTATTTTTCTCCAAATGTCCCCATTTCTTCCCATTTAAGTAACATCTAACTTATATGGATAGATAGAAGTATGTAGATATCTAAATATATAATATATCTTTAGATAATATATTTCCTTTAAAGCCCACAGAGGGCCAATAAATGATTTACTATATGAAGGAATTATTTTTTAAGCCTGCTGGAACATTTTAACACAAGCTTTGCTACCAATATGAAAGGTATAACAATTTCTGAATAAACATTTGAGTGAATAAATTATTTTTCTGTCAGAGGATAAAACTTCATTATAGAATATTATGTGAATAGAAAATTAATTGCTTCTGAAGTCACTGTAGGACTATAGGGAATCTAGAACTGACTTTTCATATTATTAGAAAAGATGCCATTGAAAGGAGGAGGCTTTTAAGAGATGCCAATACAGAAAAAGCATGAAAGATCATAAAGGGTTTTTATAACCTTTTTTTAAGAAGTAATGAACTTTCTTTTTTGTAACTCTTAGAATTTCTTAACATTTTTATCTTTTCCTTTATATTATTATATAATACAATTTAATTTTAGTTTGTATGTCATTATGTAATCTAGAAGTTAAAATTTTATGATTACTAAGAATTTTCTTGACCCCTTACTGTATTATTAAGAAACCATTCCCACTGTAATTATTTATGAGCACATTTTTAGCCCATATATTCTTCACTTGAAGTTGTGTATAGTAAATATTTTAGAATCTTAGTAGTTACTTCTAAATCTATGATCATATATTAATCAGAAACTGATAAAGTATT